AAAAAATTTACCACGTCTTTTTTAATATTAAAATATTATAATGTTATTTTCATTCTTGGGAATCATCTGAGTGCTATGCTGCTGTTAAAACTTTTTAAGTCTAAAGAATCCATTTTTGGCTTAACACGAAAAAAAGTATGTTTTGTTTATCACAATCCATTTACTAATACTATTTAGAAGGAAGCTCAAACTATTTATTTTGATTTAAATGAAAAAAATTGTGGATGCGCCGGGATCAATTTTTACCATAAATTATCTTTTAAGTAGACATAAAGCAGTTGTTGCGTCTTTGCACGTATCTTACCAAAATAAACTGTTTTATATATATAAGTTTTTTGATCTACATAACTCGGAAATTACGTAGGAATTGATGAATTGATAAATTTTCTGAAAAAGTAGGATATTACAACAAAGTTCTTTATAAATCATGAAAGTGAGATAACAAATCAGAATTATTCCTCGTAAATTGAATTACTTTCAGTTTATTCGTATTACTGTTATACCCCAATGAGCTTAAGATGTTTATAAACTAAACCAGTTTGACCAAATATTTTTTAAAGCTCATGTATTATTAATTTATTACCATACCGCTGTTTACATTTTATATTTTACGCGGTGTTTTGTTATTCTATATTAGAAATACAAACATTGTAACATCTAAAGCATACCTAACAGAAAACCTATTCGTAATTTCTTTATCATTCGAAAGTAGGTCAGTAGGTAGCAGTATAAATTGAATTTATGATAATTTTAATTACTCATTTAATTTATGTTATACGAGCAAGGATAGGCTTAACAAACTTTTTCTTTCTTTCTCTTAAACAAAAAGATACAATAAGGGAATATGTTGAAAGCAAATGCTTATTACAATACAAGTCGCAGACAACATGAACTAAAGCTGAAACAAGTTAGTCCAACTTAAATTTAACAGTTTATATGTACTCCGGTTTGTTATAATGCAGCACAACTTACCTGACCTAAATAACTTAACCGCATTTAATTTACTTAATTAACAGCATTTTGAAACTCGTGTTTGCGGTTTGTAAACAATTTTCTTTATGAATTGGTACGATTGCTAGAAAATTTTATGGTTATTTACTGACAATAACAGAATCGTAAAACTGTCGGATGTTTTTAGATCTTATTGTGAACTACGATCGATAAAGTTTGTGAACTGGTGACATATGTTACGGTATCACTAATCTGATACTTTTTATTGACTATGTGGTGCATGAATTATGGATGCAAAATAGATTTGCTTTTAATTTGTGTGGAAACTATTTTAAATTGTTTTTCTGTGGTATTGATTTTGAATGAAATGATTCGGAAAATTGTAAATATGTATTAAGTTGTATTGGATGTTAAATAGAGCGAAAAAGTGAAATACTCGCAAAAATGAAACTTAATCAGTAGACTGCGCTGCCGTAATAAATTTAGAAAGCTCGTCTGCCAAACATCTCCAGAGGCATATAATCATGTCTCTAGGACGTAGTCTATTCAACGAACAAGTTGTAAAATGGATGGTTTTGAACAAAATTTTAGGCTGTATTTGATTTTGTTAGGAGATAAATATACTAAAAAATATACTAAAACTAAACATACTAAAATTAATCACATTAAATTTTTGGTTTCATTCTTAATTCAAAGCTTTCGGTGCACACGCTCATCTCGAAGACTTTTAGTATGCTTACCTCCTAAATAGATAGTCCAAACGCAGCTATAAAGCAAAAAAAATGTTTCCGTTTATGTATTCTACTTTTTTTGAGTGTTTATTGACTGGACTAATATAGACAAATAATATGACCACTTTTTTATTATATTTTGGAACTGTGGTGACTAATTATTATTACAAATTTCTTTTTAAAATTACAAAATAATAAAATTATGTTATTTTTACACTAACCACAAAACCATTGGAATAATCTCCGGCACAATCAACTGACTGTAAGGGAAATCGGTAATCCAAAATTTGATTACGATGTCTTTGCTCTCTCCTACGAATAAAATTTCCATTTTCTGGTTTATTTTTACCACTCCGTATATAAAGCTGCTTTTTCCCGCACATTAAACGAACAAAACCATTACAGTGGTCGTATCGGAAACCTTGCTACATAAAAAATCACTTATGAAGCACTCAGTTTAGTGTAGTTTCTGCTTGGTAGTTGATTGATTTTTGGCAACAACGTCATGTCATAAAGTAACCGATGTCACCCTCAAGGCATGAAAGAGATTGTACACAAACTGCTGACAAGCCAACAAATAAAATTTAACCCGTGTATAAATACTTGTACATAAGTTGAGCAAAAAATTTTTGGTCGGAAATTACTTTTCTTGATTATTCGTTTAAATGACTGATCCAAGAAAGATATGCCAATAAGAGGAAAACTTTGTCATTGTGTTTAAAAAGAGTTTTAATTATAAAATCGATTTTCAGAACTGCAGGAATTAATCATAATTTTAATTACGAGCACGTAAAATTAACAGAAACTGAGCTGCAATGAGAAATTGAATTTTTTTTTAATTCAAATGTTTGGAGGGTAAAGTTTCAAGATCTGGTTTCGAAACACTTTTGTACTTATTACCAATTGTGAGTAATGGACTTTGACGAACATTATATTATATCTGCTGAAATTTATTTCAATTTCACTCAGGTCATAAAAGTAATAAACGTTTTTCTACACGGTGCATTACTCCGAGAATTTATTTTACAAATAAATCGAATGTTTATGTTACACCGATGGTTATAAATTTTGTAAAACCATATTTTTTAGCAATAGCTATTTGCCATAAACCAGAATTTATCTTTGCAGTTGAGGTGTGAAAATTGAAAATAACTTATGTGGGAGTAGTTGTAATTTTCCCTCGAAAAACCCTTCGGAACAGAACAAAAAACTGCTTCAATAAACTAAAAATATGATTGTTGAAAACAGTTTTTGTAAATTTAGTTAATTAACTTTCAAACTCAAACTTTGGAAAAAAATAGACTACTGTCTAGATGAAATGACTTTTTATTTATTGTTGATTGCATTATTGTAGGACACATCTGTGCATTTTTAATATGTTAATTAATAGAATAAAACATTTACCACCCAAATAAAAATGAAAAAATTAGTTCGCTTCCTGGCGGAGCACTAGCGGAAGGGATTGCTATTACTTCTCCCCCTTAATATTGATAAATGTATTTTTTAGCTTCCAAATATTGATTGGAAGCACAACAAAAACCTAATGGAGAGCTTATTGACAATATTGATAACCATAGCATATTTCTGATAAATGATTATTAACTGTCAGTTTCCCTAACGAATTTAAATATTCCAAGCTCTACAGATTAGTTTCTGATTATGTCACGAAATAAAATATTTTTTCATCATTCGGCGTGTCTACTCAGGCAAAAATAATATGCGATCGAAAAGTTTTCTCATCAAATGTGTTGATGATATCATTACGTGTGTTGGAACTAGAAGCCTAAGTATTACCTACCTGTCTATTTGAAATTTTTATACAAGCTGTTCCGTTTTTATTGTTACATATTTAAACAGGTGATAAAATATTCAATTTAAGACAAAAGTTTCCTATGAACATGTATCAAAAATAGTTATGTAAGCGAACCACACCTCCTAAAAGAGTTTTTTAATGGTGTTCTCCCACCATTGCACTAAAGATTAAATTACAAAAGTTGATACAGCTGATAGATAACACCTGAACGAATTCAAAGATCAGTTGTCGAAATTTTTGATCACGGGCTTTTTAAGCAGTAAAACTAATTTATTTTTGATCCTTTATAGTCTGTAACACATATTGTAAACTGATTTTACTAGTTGTATCGAAAAAACGCAAGAAACATTTTTCTTGTGAAAAACTATTAAATTTAGAATTTCGTGGCTGAAAGTGGCAAGAACCAACAGCCAAAATAATTAGGGTACTTTTTACCCTAAACCCCTCCAGTTTAGGACGCTCCTGAGTAAAAATTTCGACATTTTATCTTTGAATTCGTTTGGGTGTATAAAAGTTATCAGTTGTATCAAATTTTTAAAATGGTTTCTGAAATATTGGACAAAATCCATCAAAACATGCACCCCCTTTAAGGGAGGTAGCTCCCTTATATGAACTTTTATCTTAAAATTGAATATTCTATCACCTGTTTAAATTTATAACAATAAAAACGGAACACCCTGTATATTACGTATTGTACAGTGTAATTACTCTAATCACCGTACAGTGTAATTACAAATTTTCTGCAGTTGTGAGTTTACGTATTATTATTCATGGCATAAGTTTTTAATACGTTTAAGCTCAGAAAGCGACTTAACTTTCCTTTTGTCACTATTAGTATAATTAGTTATTGTGTTATTCTATTCTGCTGATGCAAATTTACCTAATGTTATTTTCTTTTTTGTTTCGTGTAATTAGAGATGAGAAATTTTCGGGTCGTAATTAACTTGTTTTTTAATTTTGAAATGTCTATGGTGATGTTTTAGGCGTGCAAAATTGCTCATTTGTCAGCAATCCTTCATTGTCTGACTAAAAACTGTTTTTCATGTTTCTTGAAATGGATCTATTTATTTGAGCTTTGAATAGGTCAATTCTGCTGAAGTAACAAAAATGCCTACGAATGAAAAACGTCAAATAAGCAAAAAGACATAAATCATAATGGAATCCTCTTAGAAACTTATATTTATGCTAAAAAATCGTCACAATTGAACTGTGACACACAGCGATCTAATTGTTTGTTTTGTAACAAAGAAACACTAAAAGATCTTAATATGTTTTGTATATTTTATATTCGTATAATTACGAAATTACTCAAATTTATTAATAAAGTTTGGATCTGCTCTTTAACTTTATATAACAACAAAACAGCAGCTTTTGACATTTTACCAATTGGCAAAGTTAAAATTCCCTAAAATAACTCGCTTAAAGTAAAAGTCCATTACTAAGCATAGTACTTATTTTGAGTAATTATATTATTTTTCAAGGCGAACTTATATTTTTTTTTTCAGAAAGTGAATAACATTGCAATATGAGCTTCTTCAACTCCTTACAAGAATATGTCAGCAATAGCGTCGCCGGACTCAGTCTAAGCCCAAAACGGTAAGTCTTCAATGATGATTATTTTAATAAAAATGCACTTTAGACAAAATGAAGCATGGGTAAGATTTATTTGTTATAAACTTATATATAAATATAAATATAAAAAATAACAAACAGTGATCAATTTCTTGTGTTATTTATAACACAATAAGAAAATATTTGAATAAAAGAGTTTCGATAATTTGTACACACAACTGTTTTATTCTACTCTAATGTCACATAAAATATTTACGTGCTTTCACTAACTAATTATTTATCAATAAAAGCAGGAATTTTTTTACGCATTGATGTTAAGAAAATCCAAAATATTTCTATGCTTTTTTGCAATATTGCAATTATATCATTAGGCATATGAATATGCAATTGCTTTTTATACAAATAAAATTAAAGTACTTCATAAAATAGCGCTTTACAAAACTAATTTATTAGAAAAAGTTTTATGCTTTTTTGGAGCTAAAAGCATCGTACACTCCTTGCAAAAGAGTTTTTAGAATGTTTCACATTGCAAAGATTTTCTAACTTAGTTTTCTTTAAAAGTAAGTTTTTTCTCAGTGATTTGAACATTCATCCAGTTATGATAAGAGCATTACACAAGGCGACAAAAAAAAGTCATGTCGTGACAACTTGACAAATTTTGTATCATTTTGTTCGTCTCATTGAAACAAATCAAATGCACTAATTTTTTTTTTAAAAGTCCACACACTTTGAACAAAATATTTTTTTCTAATTTAAATGAATTTAAAATACTTTAACTTTAAAAAATCATTACTCAATAACTATTAGGCCGATTTCCTTCAAATAAAGACTATTCTAAAGGGATGGCCTTGCCCTTTAGAATGTTATAAAATTTGAAATTGAATATTGGCAAACTTTTCTTCGATCAGTGTTCGAAGAAGATCGAAGTAAATCGAAATAATCTAAGAAAAACCCTACGAGTAAATTTTTTTTTTCATCATTACCATCGTGTAGAGCATCTCTTTATTAGTTGTAATCCAATTATTTTGTTCAAAGTGTTTTTTATAGTACATTTGATTTGTCTTACTGAGACGAACAAAATGATATAAAATTTGTCAAGTTGTCACGACATGACTTTTTTTTGTCGCCTTGTGTTATTGATTTTAGACTATATTCATAAATGTTGTGGACAAACAATATTTGTAATTTAATTAGTTATCCCTCGAGTTATTACTTGTAAAACGGTAATAAAGTTTTGATCTAAAAACAACTATAACATTAATTAGGGATACTGTATTTGGTATATAAAATATAAGAGTTTTTAAACTAAAACAAAAACCAAGCAATTTGTTAAATGTTTTGATTGTTTTGAATATCTATACCACAGATATGTTTACATATATACTCATATGTACAGGGTGCTGCATTTTGGATGTCCGAATAGGGAATCTCCGAAACTAAGAGGTTTAGCCAAAAACGAGTGATACATTCTGGGGCTCATTTTTTGAGAAAATAGTATTGGTTAAAACCGCATCTCGCTATCGTCTTTTGTTTTCTACTTACAGACAAAAGTTCACATTTTGGCGAAATCTAAAAAAATTTATATCTTCGTTATTATAGAAGATACGGATTTGAAATAAAGATATTATACAAGCACTTTTTATGTAGAATTTAATAATGTAATTAATAATTTTTTCCAGTTGTTGTTTAGTCGTAATAAAATAGACTTGTATTTTTTTAAATGGAAATTATAGGCGGCTATGGCAATTTTGAAAAGCTTATTTTTTTCTGATCTAAAAAATATATATTTGTAACAAAATATTTTTTATAACCATACTTAAAAAGTGAAATACATATTTTGTGTGATAATAGTTGGCCATGGAAAAACTATTTCACTCCAAATGTGTAAATAATAATCAATAAGAGTTTTGTGAACTGTAAAATAGATGAAAAAATAGATAAAATTATAAAGATTTAAAAAATACGATACGTTAGAAGTATTGAATAAATACGCGAGCGCGTCAGAACAAAATTATTACATATTTTTCAAAAATCCTAAAATAAGAAAAACAAATGTGTCAACAGTCAACACAATTTTTTTGGTGATCTAATGGAGGTAGGATAACGTTTTACATAGACGGAATTTGGGTATTTGAATAGCCATATCGTCATTTTTGTGTCATATAAAATATATTTTATTGAAGAATTAAAGCGGCTTTTTTTTACAACACTATGTATCACCAGAAGTTGCAATGGTAATGTTATGCATCTTTTTCATTACTCAGTACTTAGAAAGCTCTTTCATTAGTGACACTGGTTGAATATAATATAGTTTAAATCCTTTTAGTTGAAGATGCAACATTTTTTCATGGCCAACTGCGAACAAAAATCAAAGATAATTTTTTGTTAAAAATGTATTATAATAATTTGTTACAAATATATATTTTCTAGATAAGAAAAAAACAAGCTTTTTAAAAATGACATAGCTATGTATGATTCCCATTTAAAAAAATACAAGTTTATTTTATTACGGCTAAACAAACAACTGAAAAAAATTGTTAACTACGTTATTAAATTCTACGCAAAAAAAGTGCCTGTATAATGTCTTTATTTCAAATCTGTGTCTTCTATAATAACGAAGATATGAATTTTTTTAGATTTCGCTAAAATGTCAATTTTTTTCTATAAGTCGAAAACAAAAGACGATAGCGGGATGCGGTTTTAACTAATATTATTTTCTCAAAAAATGAGCCCCAGAATGTATCACTTGTTTTTGGCTAAACATATTAGTTTCGAAGACTCCCTATTCGGACATCCAAAATGAAGCACCCTGTAGGTACATACAAAAATTGGATGGAAGACTTTAAGATCATCTGACTAAAAGCGCTAAAATATTAAACGGCAATAGGGCAGAACTTACAAATGTCATCATTTTTCAGCTCTTTGTATTAGAATTATAGCTTTAGGTTCTGACTTGATTGAAAATGTTTTGTGTAAAAAATATCAACCAAAAACGAATTAGATCTTTATTGGCGGTTCGTTTTTCTCATTTCAGACTCCGATAAAGGATGAAACCAGGCAGTACAGTAGCAGTCTATGTAAACTGAAATGAACATCTCTGAGTCTCCGATAAATCGTGATATTTATCAATATTTGCAACATAGCAGAACAAAGAAATCTGTTGAACTAATTTTTGAAAGACCATTTTTATTGAAAACCTGTATTTATTCATTTCGCTCAACTAGAAAAAAAAAATAAAGAATAAAGATAATATCCCGCTCTCTTATGCGTAATTTGTGTAGTTTTCAAGAGGTTTTGAAAACTTGGTTCTGAAGTAAGTATAGTCAAATACTATAAATGACGCCTACTATCAATTTTCAGAGGGTTTGCATTGACCTTTGTAACATCCTGTGTCGGTACTTACATAAAAAAATTATTTTAACAAGGATGGTGTTATAATTTTTACGTAACTCATTACGTAATTTTAAGCATTTGTGTAATCCTAAATAAATAGATTAATTAACTTTTAATAATTAGTAATTACTTACTTGAGCTTCTTATCAAAAGAAATTAAATAATATACCTAACAAAAAGTTGAGCAAGTAGGTGGAAACAAAGAAAGAATTTCAGGCAAAGTAAATTTGTTAAGGAAACAATATACTTTATTATTAGTAAACACATAAATTAGGAGTTAAAATGTAAAAGCTTAACAATTCATTTGCTTAATTTAGAGATTGAATTGGTCGTGAAATTTCAAATTTCAGATTTGTTTTATTTGTTTATGGTACAATATTTTTCGTACTGCATTCTGTGCTCGGTAAAGACAAATAAGATGCAACTCTTTTATAAATTGGTATCAGTGATGCAAAATTAAGCCGGTCTTTGTTGTTGTGTTGCATTCCGTTTTTATACTCTTTATTATTTCGTGAAGGATTTGTATTTCACAGAGTAAATAATAAGGTAAGAAGTAGTCCAGAATGTGAGGTTTTGCTGTACGAGTGAGCAAATACCGGGAGGGGCATCGGTTACGCCCAGAAAAGAAATCCCCACTTCTAATTAAATAAAATTGTTGAATTTTTTCACACTTACCTGGGCATTAGTAAGGTACATTCTCTATTTTTTTGGTAATTTTTCATTCACAAATAAAGCCAAATAAAAATAAAAAATAATTTTCTCCTAAAAAGTTTAATTCTAATTTTTATACTGACCTACGCAGATTCACTTCCTACAATTGTTTACAAAATCAGAGAAAAAAAATACCAATTAGATTTTGAATAAAACGCAATTTCCCATCTTAACTTTGAAAATAATTTTTATTTATGACCTGCTACTTGTGGCATCGTAAATTTAGGTTACAATGGTGAACTGCAATTGGGGTAAGATTCCAAGGTTTACAACAAAAAGACCTTTTAAAGCGGTCGGCTACCAGTACATGATTTTTTTGTTGGCAAATTATACCATTTTGTCATAAATCACGGGTCTGGTTTGTGTTTAAATAAAAAAAGAGCGATTATTTGGATAACCAAGTCAAAATTTGAAATTGTGATATCAAAGTTTGATGCGCTAACAGGTACAGATTCATTTAGTGTAAAAACTTTATAGGTAAATTAACAGAAAGTATTCATAAAACACACAAAACTATTACGGACTCATTTATTATCAAAAAAAATTAGAAAAATTCTCAAATTATACCATATCAATAATTAGTTAGGTATATGAAATATCACCAGTTTTAATTAATTAGAAGTCGCGATTTATCAAGTGCGCGTAACCGATGCCCCACCCGGTACAAGAACGAGTCGTCATATGCGTGTAGTAGTAAATATTGTAAAATATCTAAAATTGCTTTTCTTACGAGCGTAAAAAAGTAAGATTTTTCATTAATTTTTGTTCATAAAAGATACGTTTGTATCATCACTGATTTGAAGGGTGGTAGCGTGTCATTTTTTAACCCAAAATATTTACACAAAACATAAAGCATTAATTTTGCAAGTTAGTTCTTGCTTGAGTTCTTTGTATTAGTTTATTTTACATTTAATATCAAT